GACCGGCGCGAGCGCGCCTCGGAGCCGCCGCGAGAACGCGACCAGTGCCGGCACGCACGCACGCGAGCACTCGAGGAAGTCGCACCGACCGCCGGGTCTGGGAGAGGAGTCTGGTGAACGGTCGCGAGATGATGCACCACCGAGGCTGATTCGGGACGCTGCGCGCACACCTACGGTGCTGCGCCGCGAGAAGCTGCCGTTGCGCGTTCTGAACTCAGCACGCGCGCGCGCGAGAGACTCCTTCGTTCCTTCCGTCTCTCCTCCCCCCGACGCCGCAGAGGAGCAACGTTCCGCCGGTGTCCCCCCTCCTGGAGCGCCTCCTGGGGCCGTGCCGGCGAGGTCTCGTGTGTCAGCCGTGATCCCGCTGTCGGTAAGCACGCTGACAATCGTGAATGTTAGGTTAGGTTGCCTCCATATTGAGAAAGAAGATACTTGGAAATTTATTTGTCGGATATAAGGCTTGTTTCGTAGAAATAGGATTTATTTATTGAATGAAATCGTCTTATATTTGATTCACCGACTTATTTAATTTCGTCAAGTAAGATTTATTTCTCATTCGATCAATCGACTTACTTAATTTCATTAAGTGAGACACATTTCTGTGAAATAAACCTTGTATCCGTCGGAAATAAATTTTTTAATATTTTCTCTCGATGCACCGTTGAGAGATGATTCATATCTCTCGATATTAAAAAGCAGTCGTTCGTCAATTAAGAGGAATTAATGATGGATCAAAGGTTAATCGTTTGGACTTCCTTAATTATATCGATTACATCGAGTAACTCGAGAACAGTCGTTAATTATCTTTAGGTCCTTCTCAAAGCTATAGGAAAGTCGGCAATGTCGGTGCTCTTTAATTACTTTACTCCGAAGATAAATGTAGGGGATCCTTATTACCTACTCCTGTTGGTATTGCAGAGTTCAGACGTTACCGACTAGCCTCGATATTTCTCCATGTGCGAACGACTAACCTGCTATATATTAATTTTTTTTTATTATTCAGGTACATATTTCGTAGACTTGCGTATACTTGTTTATGGCTGAGCAACATTGTATACTTCTATGATGACATTTGCATGATTAATGATCGCGCGAATGATATTTCAGACGTCATAAATGTTGAACAGCCAAGTACGAACTAGTGCATCCAGTTCAGTTAAAAAAAAAAAGAAACCAAGACCAAATGTTTCGAAAGATTGATTTAATGATTTTTGCTTATCGAGTAGCTGGTAATCATGTCATCGTTCGTCGATTAACCCGAGACCTCGACTGTTACGCAAACGCAAAGGATGCGGTTGGGACAAACAGATTCTCTTCATTGATTTCCGTCCCTCCGTCCCGTTTTTTCCCAGATAGACAGAAATGCTGAACATACAGTATGTAAGCATTTAATATACGCTTTGTGATATCATTGCGACAGCATATTTAAAATATGCCTGTTTTAAGAAATAATCATTACGCCGCCCGTTAAAAAATTTTTCATATATAATTATATACAGAATATGTTCATATATAAAAATATATAATTACATGTGATTACATATGCTTATGTATAATTATATTTTAAAATATACGTGTTTCTGTATAATCATATATAATTAATTATATATATACTTATGTACGACCATATATAACTGTATTACCATTTATATATAATTATATATTTTTATAGACGGGCAAATTTCACATTACGTCTTATATATGATTATATATATGAGATTTTTTGACGGGCATAATTTTAATCATAGTATATTTGACTTCTTATTACAATAATTCTTTATTATTAACTACGTTCTCTTTTGGGCAAAATAAGCAACAGTATTTATGGCGTTGGATAATCGCCGCAACATTTATCGTAATTTTCACGGCATTAGATGGCTCCTATGATGATTTATATATTGACAAAATTCTTGCTGTATGAAAACACATCTTTGCATACTCACGGTACTAGTCACGATGCAAATAATATATCAAAATCTATTTGTCTAGGTTGTAACTTTAGTCAACGCGTTCGATTGCTTCTTTTTCAGACTCAGCGAATCGCATATATAAGTGGCGGGAATATAAATAAATCGTTAATCATCGAACGATTATACTTGACAATATCTGACAGAATGCATTACCTTATCTCGATAGAACCTAATAATTAAGAACAACGTGACGACGTGATGACGTTAACGATTTACGGAAACGACGATTATCCTCTTTAGGCTCTTGAATTGCGGATCTTAATTAGAAAAATCCCCCGGGGGGCGCTTATAAATCGATCGGCGCTTATAAATAACGCTCAAAGCGGCCGCGACAAATGAAGAGCGATAATGAGAGACGGTTGAGGAGTAATGAGAAAAAATCTCAGCCGAGCTGTATCCCACGACGGTTTTTCCGTCATCCGTTTTCCCCGTCCACACTTTTGCGCTCATTTCTTGTTTTTTCCCCGACGACGGCGATCGCGTGCGAGAGAAATCGGGCGCACGCGCGCGCCGCGTTCGTTTTGCTTCCGGTGGTTTTATAGGAACAGGTGCTGCCTGTAAATCACCATATATCTTGCGTATTGACGGGAACGACAACAACGACGACGACGACGACGAAGCTACGACGACGATGAATCAATCGATCGAAAAATCGGCGCCAGAACCGGTCCGCGCCCGACAATCTTCCGGCGGCGCCTTCATTAGCGACCTTACTTTCTCTCACGGGGAAAGTTCCCGCAGCCGAGGGTTGTTACTATCGAACTCGACGACCGGAAGATCCCGGCCTTCGCGGAGGAGAGGGTGAGCCCCTGGCGAGGATTAAGGTCCTCCTCAATTTATTCGCTACGGTGCCATCGTATTACGTATCTTCCCGATCTAACTTCTTCTCTGCAAACGAGAAAAAGTTTCGTCATTTCTTTCTTCGTAATCGCACGTCGCGCAAAAAGAATCTCGTTTTGGGATTCCAAGGCCCGTTGTCGATACACCCGTTGCGCTTAAGATCCTTTGAGCTTGATCGCTGAAAAAAAATTGCTACGTCCAAGTGAATATTTACTAAGGAGTGTCGGAATAATTTATTTTATTTGAATCGAGTAAATATTACTTGAATCTAACACTTTTTTTTCTCTAACTTCTCTTTTCTACTCTTTAGGAAATATTTACTCGTACGTAGCGATTTTTTTTTCAGTGAAGTAACAATTAGTGTTATAATATGTTTTACGGCTATCATATTATCATGACAACCATTATTAGTCAGATTGCATGTGTAATCAGTTACATGTGAATTTTTCAGCTGATCGTGATTACAGATCCAATGTCATATGTATCGTATGATCATCTGATACTGTATGACTTTATCATGTGATCCTGTACGACGAAAAAAAGACTATTCTTATTTTGAGAAGACCCGTATTCTCAATATGTACATGTTGAATAAGATTATATTATATTATAAGATTATATTACGTTGAATAGATAAAATTTGCCTACATGAAAAAATTCCATATAGTTTTATTAAAAATATAATATTCTCATTATTCTAGAATAATTTTCTCGAATTGAGAATAAAGAATATTAGACAGAAAAGAATGATATCTTCAAGCCATAATAGCAATTCTTCAACTTGAAATTAAATTATCTTTATTTGGATATATCTTATTCTCGGAGAAAGCGGTTTCTTCTTCTTCATCTTCTTTTTCATATATATTAAATTGAATTGCTGATAGTATCTATAATAATCTTTTCTATGTCTTATTTAAAAATTGAGGCAATAAGAAGACGGAAAATAATATATCCAAGTAGAAGCCTGGATAGCTCAATGATAAAAGCAGTCATCCGGCAAGCGAAAGATCCTGAAATCGAATTCAGCAACTCCGGCTTCCGGATTTTCTCTCCGACTCATAAAAGTCAGGTTTTATATTTACGATCATCTTAAGGGTATCTTCAGATACTATTCCTTAGCAAATATTTACTGTTCTACTACGGGTGGGGGTTTCATTGGCTATAAAGTATCTGAGCATGAAGCTAACCTAAGACGAACTTAAACATAAGACCCGATTTGTATTTTGAAGTGAAAACGTTCATATACCTGGAAGAAGACGTAACATAAATTTGATTCAAATATTAAGTTGCCCAAAATAACACATTCATCTTTTTGATATAATTTTCTCAAACGTTCCAAGATTTATTATTTTCAAAATAATCATATCGCGCGATCCGTAGTTCGCGCGGACTATTGTAATCTCTCAACATTTTAATATCGTTGAAATTCAACAAGAATATTAAATTTTCGTAAGAAGATAATCTTGCTTATGTATGAAACAATGATTGCGTCCACTGGAAATACACAAGTCTCGAGTTGATATTTAATTTTTTTCCATGCATGAACATAAAGAAAACCCGCGTTTTTCTCTCTCTCTCTCTCTCTTTCTCCCGTAGGGAGGCGCGAAACGGAGGAGCCGATGAGGATCCCGGCGTTCTATTTTACGGAGGCGATACAGTTCATTAATCGTCACCGCGAGCGAGACTATCTTCCGATGTGGAGCGATGTGGTCCGCGAGGCGTCCGATGCAAATGACGATAATGTCCGCCACTAAATTGTAGCGAGTGTAAATAACTAAGCGTGTCCACGTCGCTGTCGTCCTCGTTGGAGAACAAACGGCCGCAATTTCGCGAGCACCCGTAATGACACGTGTCCGGTTCGATCCCGGGCCTTTCACATTAAGCTGGCGCGGTTTGCACGAAATAGAAACCGCTGATTTCCTCGTCGTTGTCATATCATTGTCATCGCGCGCGAGCAACGACCAAGAGGAAGGGAAGATGAACTGTCTTCGTGAAAGCGTCCTCTTCGTCTTCCCTCGGTTCAGAGATTATTGTGCTAGTAGGACGACACTGTAATGCCTTGGCGAAACTGATCAACGCGCGTTCGCTTTGTCACCGCCATTATTGTCGATCGTAAAACCTGCGCGTGTGCACACGGGCTGCTCGTAAATGTGCAATTTATCACGTCGCTTATCGGCGACATCTTGTAGCTTGACATCGGATCTCTTCTTTCTGCGCGATATCGCGAGACTTCGTCAAGCCGTTACACCGAAGTTAATGACGCGTATTTATAGATCGGCCGAGGTAATGAAACGCTCATAGAATTCGATGGCGGTTGCCAACGAGCAAGTCGATTTTCCCCGAGAGCGCCGAGTAACACGCGCGTCTCGAATGAGAAACGGCCGTAGTCGATTATTTTGAAACTGCCGCCGGAACTGCCGCCGCCGACGGTGATGAGGAAAATCGGCTGTGTGCGTATTTTTATAACTTCACACGGAGAGAATGTGTTTATACTGTAGTAGAAATTACACTAAAAGTTTTGTAATGTTGGACTATATCTAAAAAAAAAAAATGAATTTTCTTTTTAAAACAAAGGTAAGAAAAGGAGCGAAGCGCGTCGCCGTTGTTTCGCCTTTACGAGAAAGTACAACGAAAAGAAGACAGAAAGGTCGACGAAAAAATGGTATTAAAAAAATAGTTATTGAAACAACCTTATTTAGAGCAATTGTACCCATGATGCTCTAGTGAAAAATACTACATCAGTCATAGTCAAACAATAGTCAAAAATCCAGGCAGAACGTATGACGATGACACGACGATGACGTAAAAGTAGCAGAAATTTTGTAATTTTCTAACAATTACTTTTAGTAACACAAGTGGTACGTAATAAGAGTAGTACGTTTATAGCAAAAATTCAAATTATATCTGCGTTTCAGAGAGATCGAAAGCTGAGCGACCTGTCACTTCAGCTCACGACCGCCCCGTTATGGATCTCAATGTGGATCACTGCCGCGGATGCATGATCCGCGAAGACTCGAATCATTGTAAAACTCGATATGTGGCATCGGTGGATAATCCACCGTCAATGTCAATTTCACTTTTCTTCATCTTCTGTTTTGCAGAATGTGAAAGGTACCCGCGAGATATATAATAGTAATCCTCGATAAGGATCGCCTGGAATAACCTGCCCGCGTTCGATTTCCAGTTACTGGGGCAGTTTCAGAGTGAATCGTATTTCTCACGTTCCGCACCATCACATTTTGAATAGAGCAACAAAGTGGCAAAATGGCCCGTTACACAAAAAACATTTATTTCAAAGCTACGGGGCGTTCGTTTTGCCATTGCACAGTTTCACGCGCATAATTAGACCGTATCATCTGACACATAGTTATTTATAAAATATTATATCGCTGCATCTAAAAAATTCGATACATTTTTTAATGCTTCGCGATAGAAAGTAGGACGAATTACACGGCGCGGATTTGTTTCTCCGAGTTTCCTTTAGAGCATCTAATCGAAGAGTATCTTTTAATTTATCGATCGTTAAAAAAAAGCTGGTAGATCCTCCAAAAAATCGGAAAAGGATCTTCAAGAAAATCCTCCGAAAAATCGGAAACACTTTCGACGACCGAATCTTCTATAGAAAAAAAAAATGAAGTTAATTCGAAATTAAACAAAAGATTCATGGATTCAAGGTGACGACAGTCTAGATTCACGAGGTTCTCGGAAACGTGTCTGCCGTCTCGACGAGAGGAAATGCGTGACAACCCGACTTGCGCGATACAAGTTCGCCCCGGCGAGCTTTGACTAGTCGCGACGGCCGCGAGGAAAAAGACGAAGAGCACGAGCGCAAAGAGAAAGAGGATAAGAGTGCGACTATAAAACGATCCAGTTTCGTTGAAACGCGTGTCGTATGCGTGTCGCGCAGGCAGTCGAACGTACGACTAGTCTACCACGGCTAGTTGAGTGCATCAATATGAGGACCGGGCCGATACTGCAAGTAAATTACGCGAGAATGTAGATATCGAGATTTACTGGGTGTATTTAAAAGATACGACACGCGTCTCGAGCCGGTTTTATCGAGCGTGAACCTCGTTAATTCGATCATAGTGCGAAAGAATAAAGTGCGAAAAACATATAGCGTTGCGTTATCCTTCGAAATCACGATTCTGTGCTCTGTGTGATTTATTAACGAAATAACGATCCTCGTGAGGTGTTACGCACGCAGAGAAAGGTTTCTTTGGATTTTGTAGTTGCGTGTTGGTTGGTTGACCCGGGTTGGTTTGATATAAATAGTATAATTTAATATCAGATATTATTTTGTTCGAGTGAAAATGTTGTTGCTTCACTACGGTGAATCATGTTGTTTGATAGAAAAAAACAGTATTATTTAAAGAAATAAATAATATATATATATATATAATTTAATTATATTTATTAAATAATATGTATAATATATTATTTAAAGGAAATATACGGTATATAATTTGGTTTTTTCAATAAAAAAATTTATTTCATTGCATATTAACTCTCGAATAACAGGATTGGGTCGAATCCGACCGAATTCATATTCTAATGCTTCGCGCTTGTGAAGCGTTATATTTCAGATGTTTTACATATTTTGTGATATATTTTATTTGCTTTTAAATATTATCCAATTTATTTTGAAAATAAAGTGGTTCAGTTATTAGCTTGCCCGGTCGAAAAAATTAGTCGAAGAAACTACAAAATACTTCTACAGGCCGCACCGTCTGTATGAACCTTGTTATTCAAGGGTTAAATATTGTTCCACTAAAACAGGAGGAGTTCTTTAATATTCTCGTAACGTAATGTCACTTCTTCCAAATAATTTATTACTTGTGATAACTATTATAATGTTTAGATGAAAATATAAAAAAAATGTTATTTGATCTCAAGATATTTATTATTTGAAAAACCAAACAATCTTGTTTGTTGAAACAAACATTTATTTGTTTGCTTCGTTCGAAAAGACAAATTTGTTTCAATCAAAGAAATTTTATTAAATCCAAAGAAATTTACTTTCACTTGTGTAAAACACATTAGTAAAATTATGTTTGTTATTGTTTAACGTTTGTCATGTATGAAACGTGGCGTGAAATTATCAATAATCATTGCGCGCGAGATTGTAAATGTAAAATGCAAAATTGCTAAAATTACTTGTTAAAATTAAATGTTATAATTAAACGTTAAATTTCAAAATATAGAGAACGAAGAGCCGAGAGAAGGCACGAGTTAATTGATTTCGTTTTTCGTGATTTGCAGTTGGCGTTGCTCTTGATGTTGCTGGCCGGGCCGTCGGAAGAGTTTTTCTTTGAATAGTAAGTATGCGACTTCGTATATTTCACCTTCTTGCATTGACGCTGTTGAACGCTCGAAAAAAAAGAACGTAAAAAGCAATTAGCTCTTAACTGTGGCGCGATGAAATCTTGTTAAAAGCGAGAGATTAATTTTGAGAGCATGTGAGAGTTTGTAGGTTCTCGTTTTGCGTGTCCAATCGTCGCTAAGGCGTTCTCTCGCGTTTCAGCCCTAAGAAAGCTCTGATGGAGTTCTTCCAATCGCTGAGGGCGAAGAAGCAGACGCCTAAAACGGACATGCAGCACTATCATATACATTATTACCCGATGCCGGTTCAGTTATTAGCTTGGAAAGCACCGGGCAAACGGGATCTCGACAAACTCTACAGGTATAATTATAATTATCTCTTGCTAGTAAAAACAAAAAAGTTAATACATGTGGCTTTATGGCACGCCGATTACGTCCGAGGAGAAATTATTTCTTGATGAGCGATAGGTATACGAGAAGTGTCACATGTCAGGGGAAAGTGATCAGCTAAATGAGTCATTTGTGCGATTTTCTTTTTTCTCTGATCAGCGATGCCATCAGATCGTTAGGATGGGCCGACTATCCGTACAAATTCACACCTGATCCTATGATGATCCTATCGGGCTTTCAGCAGCTGTTGGACGACTCTAGTACTTGGGATCAGGATTTCTTGGGAACAGGTACGTCCCAGATAGAGTAATCGAATTGATTGAGTTATCGTAAGCTCTTAAAAGTAAACAGAGCAAAAAGATGGACGATTTAATTCTAATTATTAAGAATGATTTCCCAGACAGCACACAATATTTATAAAATATTTTTTTTTATATTTTGTAAATATTCAATGTCCGGGAAAGTCAGGTATGAAGAAGATTGTGATAAATATTTCAAAATATATATGAAGAATATTTTTCATAAATTAATTGAAACATGATTTTTACTTAAGTGAAATCACATGTTTATTATTTATGACAACTATTCTTCATACTTCATACATATTTTTGAATGTTTATCATAATCTGATTTTCCAGGGCATTTGAATATTTACAAAATATCTAATATCTAATATTTTTTAAATATTTCCTAAATATTGTTTGCTGTCTGAGATTATTTTCTTTTCTTCTTTTTCTGTAATTATTAAGAATAGTTTCTTGCTTTTTCTTTTGATCATTAAGAACGATTTATTTTCTTTTTTCGCGACTATCAAGAGCGATTTCTTTTCTCTCGATTATTAAACGTGATCTTTTTGTTCTGATTATTAAGAAATTGATTTCTCCTTTCGCAGAAATCGAGGACCAAATGTCCATCGATCGCAACATGAAGGGGATACTGGTGCCAGTTCCTATCAATCCACAGCTCGTGATGCAGTGGCTGAAAAAGTCTCGGAAAGAGGCAGCCACCTAAGTATCATCCTCTACTACGCCTCGGTCGACGATCGTACGATTTATCAACGTCGAAGTCATCTTAACTTAATTTTAAACTAAATAATTAAAAATAAGCGCGTCCTCGTGTGACGTACGAATCTACCGTTGATCCATTATTTATTACAAGAACGTGTTTGACGTTAGATTTTTCGGAATTCTTCCTACTCCGAGATTTTATATTTTTATACGTTTGTACGCACAATCATGTCAAAAGAAAAAAAACGAACGAGATGAAGAGAGAGAGAGAGAGAGAGAGAGAGAGAGAGAGAGAGAGAGAGAGAGAGAGAGAGAGAGAGAGAGNGAGAGCTTGAGTAGAAAAACTATCATGCGCCCATAGGATTTGCGTCGAGCTGCGAGTCCTTCGCAAGCAAAAGTCCCGGCAGTTGCTTGCACATTCTATCCGCCTTCTTGTGACGTTTCGGCGCGCACGGGTCTCGTGGCGGTCGTCGCTGTCGTCGTCGAGACATCTCTTTCAGTAAGGAGTCGGGCAAGGTGCTCAAATCCGGCACGATCGTAGCCGGCTTCAATTTCATCCGCTCGATCCGAGCTCTCTGCCGCACCTCGTGATCCTCCTGCAACTTCGTCGCGAGTCGCGTCATGTACTCACGATCCGTTAGCCGCACCACGTGACTGCCCATCACGACTGTCAGTCGCGACCTGACGGGCGTGTAGCTGATCCTGAACGAATGCGTTGTTAAGCGGAAATTAGCGGTAATAGCCGATAGTAACGTAAAGTGTTGCACCTATCCGGAGTACAGTTTCGAGCGAGTCTCGTGGGAACTCCGGAGTGGTATAACTTCGCGCATTAAATCATGCCTTATTATAGCGATCTGCGAACGCGTCGACCAACCCGTATCTAACGCAGTCCGCTTCCCACCACATCGGAGGCGCGTCGTGCGGGTCCATAGCTGACGAAAACGTCGTCTCGCTCGTCGCTACCGATAGGTCCTTAACGCGAAATTTCCAACGTGATTTACCTCATGACGCGACGCGCTCTCGTCACTCGGGCGTCGTCTTTTGTCGCGTGCGACCGATCGATGCCGCCGGGGTTTCATTCAATGGGCGAATAACGGGGTCCGTGTATTTTGTTTGTTGTATATACATACACCGTCCTAGACAGCACGAATTTCTAAAGGATGTCTAAAAAAAAGTAAGACGTGCTTCATATAAATGTCTTTAAGACGTTTTGTTTTAGAAATTTATGCTACCTGGAGTAACAGAAAAATCGTGATAAACTTTATTTCTAAACCCAACAACTTTCGTTCCCGAACCACTTTTCTGCCAATCGCTTCGTTTCCCAGATATTCTACCGTTTCCGTTAAAATGAGAAACACCCGGTATATCGCGAAATGCAAACTGGAGCTCGCATTCCGTTGCACTTCACGTCGCGTGCACATTTCAATCGCCAATCTCCAACCGGCGCTTCTTGTCTGCAACATTTTTTCGCTCCGGATTTATTTCCATTTTTGCCTCTCGAGACCTTCCCGGCAATTTCAAAGAACGCGCGAGCCGAGCGCAACTGGCGTCACCTCCGCGCGATGGCGCCAGCGGTTCGGTTGGCGCTCGCATCGCCGGCTGTAATATCCGAGCGACGTCGATATCGCAGACCTGTCCGATCATAAATCAATATCGAGCAGCCGGCGAGATCGATCGATAGATCCTCACACGTCAATATGCGATCGTAACGCCAGCCGACTTCACGGCGTATAATAGCGCTGAAGTCATCCTGCGCGCGAGTCGTAATCTGCGATACTCTTTATCTCAATTCGCTTCGAGGAAAACCAACCGGCCTATCCCCGGCGCCACGTTAGCCGTCCGGCTCGTTGAAAGTAGCGCGCGAAAACTTTGGCATATCGAACGTCGATCTTCGCCGGCATGCTTCGTCGGACACGCTTGGTGGATTTGGCAGCGAGGTTGCGACAGGGATTCATCGCGCCGACGATCCATCGGCGATCGATCGCCGATCGGAGCCCGTTCGTCTACGGGCCGGACGTCGTGACAGCTCGGCGAAGTGGCTCGCCGATCGTGGCACTGGAGTCGACGATCATCACCCACGGCATGCCGTATCCGGATAACTTGAACACCGCGCTGAGAGCCGAGGATGCGGTCAGGAAACATGTTCGTATCGTCTTCGCTTTCGCCCTTCGCGTTATCTGCGCTTCCCGTGTTCGCCTCTCTCTCTCTCTCCCCCCCTCTCTCCCCTCCCACTCTCTTTCGGAAGCTCGAATGAATGAATGCTGTGGCGTCTTGGGCGCGGAAAGTGCGACTCGTACGAACGAGTCGAACGGTCTCGTCCATTTCGTACGATCGCGGTCGAAGTTCCGTATTTGCGATCCTTTTACGTATCGGCCGGCCGGGCTTTGCGTCTTTGAATTAACAATGCGCTCAGATGCTCGCGGTGGTCGCACTTCCTGTGTTCCAGTAATAAACGGATTTAATACTTTCAATCCCCAATACCTCTCCGTATTTTATTATTGTACATCACGTTCCGGATTATACATATTCTAAATTCGCTTTTATCGATAAAAATGTCTGAAATGTGGCTTCTCAGTTAATTAGGTGGCTACTGAGTCATTTTTAAGGGCACTTTTATCAGTAAAAGTGAGTTTCAAATATGGTAATTTTTGTTTTTTCCTAATCACAGAGAAATTGCTCGAGGAACGTGGAACTGTTTCCTTGGCAAATATTTGCCACAAGATCCATTTATAGAGTCATTTAATGTTGCGAGTTATTGAGACAGAGTTGAGAAATTGTCAAGTGAAACGAAGCAGCAATGTCAAAGAGCCCTTGGCTCGTTTTCAGGGTGCAGTACCTGCCACAATAGGAATCATAGATGGAAAGGTGTACGTTGGACTGAACAAGGAGCAATTGGAGGTCTTATCCACAGCAGATCCCACCAAGACTGTGAAATGTTCACGCAGGGATGTCTCCACCATTGTGTCACATACACTCAATGGTGGTACAACTGTCAGCGCCACAATGTTGATTGCACATATAGCAGGCATCCAAATAATGGCAACAGGTGGCATTGGAGGTGTTCACAGGGGTGCTGAGCTGACTTTTGATGTCAGTACAGATTTGACTGAACTGGGACGTACGCCAGTAGCAGTTGTCTGCTCTGGTGTGAAGTCTATTTTAGACATCGAGAAGACCCTGGAGTATTTGGTAGGTATACAGGAGTATTTTCAATATTGAATCCATTCATTAATACTCTCTCATCACTTCATCTTCAGAAATTAGTACAGAGATCAGGCAAGAAAGAAAGGAGCCAATAAGAGCCTGTACACGGATTTTATGGTGTAATAAGATCTTTTACTGCACTATAAAATCCGCACAGATGTTCTTTATGTCGGTGTCTGCCTTTCTCATCTGATTGAGTATTAGTAGAGCCGCTTCATACATTTCGATATATAATGTTTGCCAAAAGTGTGAAAACCCTTTAATATTTCGAAAACTGCAAGAAAAGAAAAGTTTCCGTACTTTTGGTGAATCCTGTAGAAACCTGGCTCTTGTGTTCGCAGGAAACTCAAGGAGTACCGGTGGTAAAGATCGGAGAGACGCCAGACTTCCCAGCTTTCTACTGCTCGAAGACTGTGGACGAACTGAAGGCGCCGTGCCGAGCCTCCAACGCTGAGGAGGCTGCCGGCATCGTGGAAGCGCAGAGAACACTGGGCGTCGACACCGGGATCTTGTTCGCAGTGCCCATTCCCGACAGATACGCGTTGGACCCCGCAACTATGGACGCCGCCATACGTGAGGCCTTGAGGAAGGCCAACGACGCACGTGTCACCGGCAAACGCGTCACGCCGTTTCTTCTGAGCGAGCTCAACGAGATCACGCGCGGCCGGTCTCTGGAAGCGAGTGAGTATGGAAGATTAAGGCTCGACCATTGAACTCTACACTATCACTATCACTCTACACTTTTCCAATGATATAATTTTGTCAATCGCAGAGATTACGAGTGCGATACTTTGAATGAGCTGATATTTCCAACTGGAATAATGTGACAGAAAAGGATACACATAGTACTCCTCTTCTCTCTGTCTTATTTCGCCCGTTTCCTCCTGAGGTGTTTAGCATTTTAGTATAGTACAGAGTTCAATGGGCTTGGCAGCCATATTGGTTCTGTACGACGCGTATCCTACAAGCTTCAGGATTACGGAACGTTATTATATTCTTTGGGGAAAAGTAAAAGATAATACTATGTAGCGCAGAAAAAAAACTGCGCGTCACTTCTCGCCTGCGACGAGTCACAAAACCAACATGGCTGCCCGAGTTAGCCGAGGATCTTAATTAGATCGCGGCGGGAAAAAAATACCGACCGAAGGTCGGTCGCACCGTCGCGCAGATTCTGAAACGTTCGCGCCTCTCTGCGCAATCTTGCAGATATAGCTCTCGTGGAGAATAACGCTAAGGTCGCGGCCGAGATCGCCTTGAGTCTCTGCGAGAGGAGGAGGTCTCAGGGTGCCCCGAATGCGGCGACCGCCCCGTCGGCGCGATCGATCACGTCCAGGCAAAAACCGGTGAGCGCGCGAGGGGAAATGTAAAATCGCTTCTGGAAAGGAAAAAATAAATAAAAGCGACGACGATACGGAGGAGTCACTCTACACTCGTTTATCGTCACTCTCAAAGCTAACGCGCATACTGTAGATATCCGCTTACTGTGGATAACGCGATAAAAAAATGTATGCATCTTTGTTTTTCAGGTAGTAGTGGGCGGCGCCATTCTCGACACCGTGCTGCAAGTCAGGGATCCCGAAATAAGCGTAAGTCAAGAATCTCACAATCAGAGTTATACTAAATAACCAATTTTTCTTGTATTCATATTACATAATAGTTATAGAACAGTAACAGTATTTATATACAATTACCACCGTGTCGCTCTTCTCTCTCTCTCTTCTTCTTCTTTTTCTCCTTCTTCTCTCTCTTTTCCTTTCTTTTTCCTTTTGCTTTATATCCCCCCCCCCCTTTGTTGTTTCGTTTGTTCATGTCGCTTATGTACACTTAGTAATATATCAAATAATGGGAACTCGTATAGAGAATAGAGTACGCGGGGAAGAGGTGAGTTTTACGTTAACAAACGCTGTATAGAATAGCAAATCTATGAAATACGGGCTGTCGTCAAGTACGTCACGTGTGTGTTCAACACGTGCAACACGTTACGTTGCACGGTAACACGGCATATCTAACTTAATTAAATTACAAGACGCAAGCTTCCGGTACGGTATGGTATTTAACACGAAAGGTCATCAACATAAAACGCATTCTTGAGCTCGCCCGTTCTCTCCCTCCCTTTCTCTTTCTTTCTTCTCTCTCTCTCTCTCTCTCTCTCTCTCTCTCTCTCTCGGCTGTAATAACTCGCGCCTCAACTACGGATATAACTCATTTCCACTAACAGTCTTCTCAGATACACTTGTTTCGTCGCGTGTGTCGCTTTTATACAATATTAAAATAATCAAAGCATTTATAAGTGTGCATATACTTCTTTTTTTTTTCTTTTTCTCCAGCAGTAGTATATCGCACTACGATCATTACCCTATGAAATTGTCTCACTCGTGACATCACACGCGCCGCGCGGGAACGTCTCGGTTTCGGCTGAATGAGCATGAATCGGATGGGCAAGTTGATTCCTCAAGTCACGTTCTACCGAGTTTTGTTGACTGTAACTTGTGTCTTGTAATGGCTGCTCGATATTTATAGAAAAGTTGACGGGTGTACAAATTCTCGTGTTTTTTTTTTTTCTCTGATAAGTATAGTGCGTGTATGTTTCCCTCTCTCTCTCTCTCTCTCTCTCTCTCTCGTTTCAAAATCGCATTCTGAAAGATTGCCATTTCCTGCTGGGCGACCTGTCTCAACACTTCGGGCGACGCGACCGCGTACGAGGTGTCAGATTATTCAACGCATCGCCGATCCCGCGAGTTACACTTGATTAGGCTAAGTACTTGGAAGAGTTGTTCCGAATTGAGTGAGTAAAAACCCATCACCCACGGCGGGTGGATCGGTGGGTTCTCCGTCTCACTCGCCTCAGTTCACGCCTCGTTCAAGCACACACAACAGGTGACGTGGCGCCCGACATGTTGAAAACACGCGTGCCCGACGTGCAATGTCACGGATGCGTCTAATTGTTTCGACCGTACCTAAGTTGTTTGAGATATAATAAATAGGTTTTTAAGCAGGCACTATTCAAGCTCCCTGTCATCCGCTTCTCTTCAAGTATTATATGTATATATGTTACACTTAGATACCGGTCAAGTTACAAATCACACTACGCGTTTGAACTTCGAAGTCTTTCTTACGGTGGGGTTTGTAATAACATCAGGATATATTTCGCTCGAATAAAATATATATATATATATGTATATATATATATATATATCAGTATATATATATATATATATATATAT